CAATGATTCTATTGAATGTTCATGATGGTATACATTCTCTAACGGCAGATGAAAATCTGGCAATGGCTCGATGGATTTCCAATGTTCGATCCATTTCTGTGGTATCTCGCCGTCTGTATACAATGTTTTCCACCACGAATCGACTTTATCTAATTCCTTATGATCAAAGTCTTTGCCGAAAATCATAATATTCGCAGTCTCTGGCGTCAAATAATCCAAAACTTTTGTTATAGCTTCTGGATCATATTCAAAATAAAGTGTGCTTCCAGTTATATAATCGCGCGATTGATAGAGGTGCAAATTTATAGATAAATTTCTTACATTTTCCACTGGATTTTCTTCATCAGAATATCTAAAAGGACCTCCAAGTAGAAGTGACGTTTTTCACAAATATTTTATTTTTTCAATCATCTTTCATATATCTATTTATTTCTAAAATTTGTTTACCTAAAACTAGATTCTGAACTCTTATTAAACTCGTCGTAAATTCTTTTCTGCGGACCTTCCTTCTTTAACAAATTGATATAGGAAAATATAGCTTCTAAAACCTCCATCACGTGTTGTTTTCCTTCATTGGAGAGTTCTATAATAATCTTGAATAAGCTGTACGTGAAGGTATGTGTACTGTGACAAAGTTCATCATTGTAAGTGGTAATATTCCACATTTTTTTGCGTAGATAACTAATTAAGGAACCTTTTCCTTCATGTGCAACAAGCCACGAGATATATCGATATGGTTTACTTTTATATAAATGAGATAGCGAAGGCACGACCCATGTTACTTCTAGCTGCAAAAGTCAAATTTTATTTTACGTATTTATATTTTTATGCGTAGTGTGAACATAAAAAACGTAGTATAAACTTTTTTTCGACCTGGTCAAATTTTAGTCACATACTTGTCTAAAATGTTTCGAATGAGAAACTTTATATATTTTTTTAAAAGCGGCGGTATCAAAAGGAATATCATTTTTGAATTCGGTAGAGTCATTGGGAGATATTTCATTAGTTGGAATATTAACAAAACGCGTATCAATTGTGACATATTGTTCCAACGTATTCAGCGGTAATCTTGCCTATAAAAAGATGTATCATGTTATAAATTTTAATCTTATTTTAGAAATAAATAAATTGTATACTGTAAAAGTAATTAATTGTTTGTCGTAATTTTAACAAAATTACCTGTATAACCAGCTTTATTCTTCGAGCACTATAATGGCGCTTTGTGAATTTTTGTAGCTCTTCATATAATTTCGTGTAATTCAAATTTTCCAGCACTTTTAGAATACGTTCCTCAGTAATCTTATTGATTGGATGATCAGTTCTCGTAAAGGAGGAAAGCTGTTGTTCATGAACTCTGTTCTTGGCAAAATTTAGGGCTTTCTGAAATTCTACATAAATAGGATACTTTAAAATTGCAAGTTGCAACAATAGTACTATGAGTATAATCTACCTTCGTGTATATCGTTTTGATTCTGAATAAATGCATCTTTTTCCGGTAGAGGGTTAGTGAAAAATTCAGCAAAAGGAATGAGAACTGATAAGAAATGTTTCTCTTGAATATCAAAGATAAACGATGTACATTCGTGATCAAGTAAGCAATTATGAATGCCTCCATGTTTATAGGTAAGATTTTCTAAATATTTCTGCAAGTAAGGTAATACTTAAACAAGTTAATATACAAATAATTAAATTTTATATCAAATTTATACATGTCATATTTTAGTACTTGGCAATGTTTTTTGAATTCAATAAAAAGGATATGCTCGAAGAAAAATGATATGCCTGGAAATTCTGGTGGCTCTTTGAAAATTCCTGTTCTCACATATAAGGAACATGCTGCCTATTTAAAAAAATACATTTATGTACATATCACGCATTACACGCTGAATATTAAATGGAGAAATAAACACAATTAATGGAATGACTCATATATGATATAAAATTGAATAACACATTTACCGTCATTTCACACGTACCTTTATTTCATTTTTCATATCTTGATGAGAAGAGTATGCCTTTGAATCTTCATCGGATATTAGCAAAACTTCTAAACCGTTTGGTAATCTGATGGCTCTAAATTTAAAAGACAATGCAAACAAAATATTAATAAAATGAAACTCAATGAGAATGTTGTGCATATTATTGATTATTTAAAAAAAATATAATTCCTGCATTTATTAATAAAAAATACATTATAATGTTCCTTCTAAAGATTATGGTCACAGTATTTCTCACGCTTATTTCAATCGAAATCGTGCACATTGTTCATCAGTATTTTCTTTCATCTCACCTATATTCCTTCTTGTCATTCTCCGATTTGACGGGTGTTTCCAGATATTCAACTTGACAACTCTTTTTGTCTCCAGTCGCTTGCTCTACCTTTTGCATTGTATCGATCGATTGTAATACGATCCGATGAAAGAATTCTCAATTAAATCGTTTCTGGTAGACGTAGCACAATTTTAATCAGCACTGTAACCGATATTAAGCCTCCTTCTTCCGTTATTCCACTTGCCTTCAAACAGAGGTCGATATACGAATAACATGTGTACATTGTAAGCAAAGGTGATACATGTTTATTAACTTGTATGATGCACAGGTCTGAGAGCCAATAGTCTAGCGAGCCAGTTAATGTACTGTCTATTCTTATATTTAATATCATTTAAATACAATCTTAAAATATCATAAACCAATCATTGAGTCCTATTAACATCTTAACGTATTATTTAAAATAACAAATTATTTTAAATAAGAACCAACTATAAATATCTACCTAACTAACTGTTGTTTAATTAATTATTATTTCATTGTTTCTAGGCACACGCCTGAAAGAGGTCCTACATGTGCGACAAGCGCTTGAAATTTGAACCTAATTTGACCGAACTATTCATCGAGATAAGAAAGAGTACTCCGGTTTAGTTTAGAGCTACCTGAAATCTAACCACACATGCATCTGATAATGATTAGTTGAAAGAAACAGAGATCATTCTATGTTTAAGTACAAGAAAAGTTATAAGGGGGCTATATACACCTATAGATGGATCAAAACGGGGCCTAATTTTGCGAACTTTTTGTGAAAAACGGATAGAGACAGAGAAGTCGGATTTGTTCCATTGTTCCAACGATGATACTTTTACCATTAAAATTTTATTTAAAAATAATATAAAATGGGATCGCTATTCAAATTTTCGTACATCACGTTTTATAAAACGGGTGACCATTGCTACTTGCACAAGACTCGTCTGAAAGCAAAATGATACAAGTTTTATAAAATTGAAACGTAGCTCTTGTGCCGACATAGCTGTTTTTTAAAATATTGCGTTTGAATAAAATGGTAGCTGGTCAAGTTAACATAACGATTTTTCACAAAAAATTTGGTCGTTTTTGGCTACGAAAAAAAACTAAGCATATAATATCGTAGGAAAAAAATCCTACGTCAAGAATTAGTTTTCAGTATGTAGAAAAAGTGTGTAAAATTGCAAATAGCAAATCGATCGGTCGAGCCGTCTTTAAAATACTGTATGTGGTCACGCGTTTTGAAAACTATACGGTTTGAGAAAAACGTGTTTAAAGTTTTATTCAGTTCATACTTTTCGTTGCTAACGTTTTAACCTTTTCAGTTGCTCTTCCAGACAAGACTGTTATATACCCAACCGTCCGTATTTTTAAATGCGGATGGTAGTTCTGAGGTATGCTATTGAAAAACACAATGAATAGAGGAAGACCCTTTTTTGACCTGCTCGATCTTGAACTGTCCTGTCACAGGCATGTCTTTACACCTGTCGTCTTCAACGCGCTCGAACCTACTTGTCTATAATGCTATATTGAATGAGAATTATCAGTAAATTGAGTTGAACTTCTTATATTATTCATTTTTCCTTCTGTTATTAAAAAAAATAGATGAACAATATGCAAGGAGTTCAATTGAAAAGAATAGACTAACTATTAGAGATTGTCAACTTTAAACAAATTTTCATAATTATCGAAGGGTTCTGGAAGACGCAGAGATAATTTAAGAATATCAATATTTTTTTATTATTCATATTGTGATTATGAATATAAATGTTCGAAAATGTATAAGTTACAGATCTATATGATAATATTGGCAAGAAAGAAAAAGAAAAAGGATATATATGTGATGTCTATTTAAAGTATAAAACTCGAAACCCATCCTTAATGAATGTTGCATTAATTTAAAATATTTATATTGTATATTACTTATTAATAGTCACTAAATCTAACTTTTAGAAGCAAATGCTCTACCTGTTTTTTTATGCTCGCCAGCTGTCGCCGAATCGCGAAATTTTCTTTTCCGAGAGAATAGGAAGCTGAACAGTTGACTTAAAAAGCAGCTAAATTAACAAATTTCCTCCTTTTCTCGAGAATATAATATTTAGTCTTTTATTAATTTTTTAAAAATGCAATTCCTATACAACACTTATGCACGCACAAAAGTGAAATATTTGTAGGATCCTGTGTTCAGTTTATAGAAAAATCTTACTCAACTGGTGTTCATCCTTTGTGAAAGAATACGAATTTTAAATCAATTTTAAATCAAATGTTAAGTATGAAAATTTTTGATACGAACGAGGAGCGGAAAGAGAAAGAAAGAGAGAAAAAAAGAGTGAAAGATATGTTTTATTGAAAACATTTTGTCGTATTTAGTATACAAATAAAAAACATGAATAATTACATTTTGAGCAAATACTTTACTTCCTAATTAGCATCCTCTTTTATTATCACAGTATATGTTTTTGTCTAGTTATTACAGTTACATGTAATATGTTTCCATTATATATTTGTTTATATTTTCTTATTAAAAAGGAAATATCGTTAATATATAAAACTAACAATTTTAATGTAGGAAAATTTCATTCTATTAACTTCAAATATTCCAGTTCTGAACCAAAATACAAAATTCTGTAGCTGTACAAGAACAGCTATTAAGTATAATACAAGTTATAATTTTATTTTCATTATACTATTAAATCGTTAATGTGTCACTTATTCTGCGCTCTGAGAGGATTATTGGAACCCTTAGTTGGAAACATGAAGAGTTTTTTCTTGTAATTTTCTACTTTAGTAATATGATGATTCTTAATTTGCTTATTCTGCTGATGATCGTTGTTTATGTATTCCAAACCAATGTAATTCGCTTTTTTAGGAATAGTTCCTACAACATGTATGCTCAATTTTCTAAAATTACTTCCGTTAGATGTATGGTCTGCAAACCATTCCCTTAGCTTATTAACATTAATTTTCTCTAGAGCAAGTATTTCCTGTTCGTATAAGTCAAATATGTAAGTACGTTTCACGATCGCCTTCCAGTTTCTGTTAACTTCGTCTTCAAGAGTAACATCGTCACGTAGTCTAGATTTTAAGAACATTTCTTTGTAAAGATTCAATTCCTCTTCTGTAAACTTTTTCAAATTGTATTTAAACCATCTCAAAAATTCGTCGATTTTCTTATCAACGTACTCGGTTGCGTATTTATCTGCTTGAGTGCAAACAGTAATGGAATATCCTAAAACTCCGTTAATATCTCTAAAGTCGATTACGTTATATATAAACCTTTCAATGGGTAGACCCTCGTGTAACTTGTCGTCCATTATAAACTGAAAGCAAGTACAAGTGAATGTGATGTACAGGTAAAATCATGATATTCGCAATCATGAGTGTCGCATTTTTTTGGTAAATAGGGATCTCGTCGAGTTCGGGGCTTCAGTTTAGGATCCTCTTAATACTTACGACTAACAAACGTATTAATGTCGATAATTCAATTGTTGTGACGCCGGCTTGATAATAATTTGTTATCATTGAAGTTGTATCTAATTTGTTGATATTTTTAATCTTATAATAGCTTGTGCCTAAAGGTATCTGGGTGCCTCTAAGCTGTTGTATCGTATTTGGATGTAAAGGGCTACAATTCATTGTTTTAATAAATTGCTCTATGATCTTGATCGCAGCAATCGGCGTTATATTTCCTTGCACGAGACATTGAATGTATAGACATTCGGTAAATGATTTCACAAAGTCTTGAAAGTTTTTGAAAGTGATATGCTGTAGAACAGTATTCATTTCAATTTTTGAATGATGGACGAATTTCAGTATCGATAACGTCATGTCGCTGCAAGCAAGATTAAAGATATTATTGATTAGCAGAAATATAACATGATATAATTTATTTTATAATATTAATTGTTATAATTAATATGTATTGTTAATCATTTATTTTAATTATATGAGAATTTTGTAATTGATGTAGTGATGCTTGATATAATAAAGGTTCAATACTTCATGAAAATTTCAGGTTTGCTAATTGAGAAGTGATATAACTGACTTTGTTGATTTTTGATACTTTCAAACATGTCATTCGTAATATAGTTTGAATATTCCATCATGTTTAGTGCAAAAAAACCCGCTAAAAACTGCAATATAAATATAATGATATATCTTGAAATTGTATTTATAACTCCAAAGCACACTGAACGTATACTTACTGGCAGAGTTTCATTATAACCGCTTATTTGTAATATAAAACCCGTGTTACTGACATTGATATCATATTTAAATCCAGCCTTTACTGCTGCATATAATTCTTCGACTAATAACTGTTTAAATAATCTGCAGTACATATCCATGAGAACTCCACTGAAATGTCATTAATGTTCACGTCTTTTTCAATAATAAGATGTAAATAATTATATAAAAATCATAATATTGGTAATTATAAGTTAAAAATTGGTATGCATATAATGTCAAGTACAATAGTAACTGCTACAATATAGTATTATTGCATTTCCTATGCTACTTACTTCTTCAACGACTGAAGTTTTAGAGGGGAAATAAAATGGAAATACATATAACATCTTGGCAAACGAAACTTAGGATCCGGGCGATACCAAATCTCCGACACAGGATTACTGTATAATTTTATAGGATATTTCGGAATTTCTTTTGGCAACGGTATTAGAAGAAGGTTGTCGGTAAGGAATATATTCGGTGACGGTAAACTAAAATCTGGTAATGGCTTGATGGCTTTCCAATATTCTATCCACTCTTTCGATATTTCAATATCCGTATATGCCGTTTGCCACCATGGTTCAACTTTATTTAATTCGAAACCATAAAAATCGTCTGAGAAAATCATAATATTCGCCATCTCAGGCGCCAAATAATTCAAACATTTTTGTATAACTTTTGAATCATAATTAGGATTAAGCTGGTTTCCACATATGTATGCATTCGGCGGATTCAAATGCATATTCTTACTCAATTGTTTTACAAAACTGATTGGTTCTTTGTCATAATCAGTAAATCTAAAAAGACCTTCAAGTATAAGTGGTGTCCCACAAATATGTTGTTGGCTTTTCTCTTCAATTCATCTTAAATACATATATTCCTAAAATTACTTTACCTAAAAATATTTGTTTTACTCTTAAAAATGTCATCGTAAATTTCTTTCTGTGGACCTGCTGTCTTTAGTAAATCGATAAAAGAAAATATCGCATTTAGAACATTTTCCAGATGTTTTCGTCCTTCAGAAGTGAGTGTTATGGTAAGCTGTATTAAGCTGTACAAAGAGTTCTGTTGACTGTTACAACAAAACATATTATTATCTGATGTAGGGCTCCACATTTTTTTGCGTAGATAACTAATTAAGGAACCTTTTCCTTCATATCCAATAATCCACAAGATATATTGATATGAATTACATTTATAAAAATCGGGTAACGAAGGCAAGGCCCATGTTATTTCTAGCTGCAAAAGAGAAAGTTTATTTTGTATATTTAATTATATTTTTATGGTATATGTTGTATAAACCTAGATTCTTTTCCATCTGCTTAAATTTTAGTCACATACTCGTGTTAAAAGTTCCGCATCATCATCAACTTTATACATTTTTCGGAAAGCAGGAGTATCAAAAGGGAGATCGTTTTTAAATTTGAAAAAATTATCTGGAGACATCCGGTTATTTGGTATATTGCCAAAGCACGCTGTGACAAATTTTTCCATTGTATTCAACGGTAGTCCCGACTATAAAAAGACGTATCATATTATGATTTAACTTTATTTTATAAACAAAAGAATCATAAACTCTATAAGTAATAAATAATTCTCGCGTCGCAATTTTAATAAAGTTACCCGTATTGCTAGCTTCATTCTGTTAGCGCTGTAGTGGCGATATTTATATTTGTCTAGCACATCGTACAATTTGTCGTAATCTATATTATTGCGCAAATTTATTAAATGGTCCACAGGAAACTTGTTGGCTGGATGACCAATTTGTGCGAAAGAGTTAAATAGTTGTTGGTATTTCATCTTGCCAATAAATAAGTCTTTCTGAAACTCTATATAAGCATGACATGTCAAGACTGCAAGTTGCGACAACAATATTAAGATTACGATTTATATACCGCTTTTTATGGTATCTGCCTTCTCCATAAATGTACGTTTCAGCATTATAGAATTAGCAAAAAAATGACTAAAATTGTGGAGAGTTATAAACAAGTTGTTTTCTTGGGTATCAAAGTAAAATGTTGTATACTCGTGGTCCACTAAGACACAATTAGTGCCATCACAGTCAAGGATAAAATTTTCCAAATTAGTTTGCTGCAAATAAGATGATACTTAAATACTTAAATATACGAATAAATAAATTTTAAAGTAAATTTATGCATCATGTTTTAGTACTTTTGAAGATTTTTCGGGTTCTTGAAAAAGCATATAACTTAAGAAATGTGATATGCCCGGAAATTCTGGTGGATCGCTGAAATATCCTACGTTCACACATAAGCTACACGCTGCCTGTTTAAAAAAATATAAGTGTGTACATATCACGCGCATTACACGCAGTGTTAAATGGAGAATTGAATATAATCAACAGAATGACTAAACAGTTTGAAATTGTATCATACATTTCGAAATCAATTTATGGAAACTTTACTGCAGTGCAGGAGATCAAATTTTTCAAATTAAAACTTCTGATAATACACTGCTTAAATCTTATAAAAATAGATATCTCTTATGATTTTAAAGTTTATTGTTAATATTAATTTTAAATATAAATTTTTAATAGGTTAACTAAAAAAATTAGTAAGTCCTAAAATGCAAATTAAATTGTCTTGTTTATACCTTCTTTTCTTGCTTCTTATCTTTAGAAGAGGATGTTGTTAAATATCCATCGGATATTAGCAAAGCTTCTAAACCATTTGGTAATCTGAGGCTTCTAAATTTGGAAGATAAAACAAGCAGTAATGAAATGAGAAGTTAGTAAGAATGTTGTATATTTTGTTGATCATTTCAAAAATCTAATCCTTCCTTCTAAAAAATGTATTGTAAGATTTCTTTCTAAAGATTACTATCACATATTCTCACGTTTATTTCAATCGAAATCGTGCTTACTGCTGAGTATTTTGTATTATATTTGCTCTCGTTTTACCTATATTCCCTCTTGTCGTTCTCTGATTTGATAGGTGGATCCAAATATTCAACTTGTTGGATCTTATCCCAACTTTTCACAACTGGCATTATGTCAACGTGCAGAAAATTAAAATCGAAATTATGTCGATTTGTGAAATATACGACTTGACCTGGAAAAGCCCAATGGTTTTAAGTTTTCAACTTCCTTTTCAATAGACCTAGCACCGTTTTAATTAACACATTAACTGAAAGATCTTCTTTCTTTGTGGCACATATCCTCGAATAAAGGTCAATACGGCTAATGTTTAATGTATATTATTACGTAGAGATTTTAGATGTCTATTTATTTGTATTGTTCACATAGTGATCTAGAGGACTGATATTCACACAGTTCGTTTGAATTTAAAACTATTCAAGTCATAAAACATTCTTATCGCATTTTAAAATATTGCTAATTATTAACATTTGCAGCCTTATTAGCATTTTAAAATATTACTAATTAAAATAAGAATTATTAATTGAAATAAGAAACTGGCTGTGAATATCGGTTTATCTTATTATTGTTTACTTATTATTATTAGCGTAATGGGCTTCCGACAATAAACCAATGCCTAAACTTTGACCAATCATAGTCGATTATTCTTCTCATATTCGACTGTAATTGATAATTCCTTACAGATTAAGACTTAAAACTTAGGTAACGGCTTATTATAGAAAGTCTATAAAAGAGATTCCACACACGTGTGCGACCTGCTCTAGTAATTTGAGCCAATTCGTCTGAACTGCATGCCGAGATGGAAAAGCGTGCGATTTAGGACTAACCGATGCAGTCTGACAATGGTCAGTCGTTGTTGAAAGAAATAGAAAGTATATGCTTGGTTTATGCTTCGGTCTTAAGTCTAAAATCTTAAAATTCAGCCAATAGGCCTGTCAGTCTTAATTGATCTTAATGGAAAACTGTATTCCATTGGCTGAATTTTAGGATTTTAGGGTTAAGACCAAAGCATAAACCAGGCAAAACAATGTTTAAATACGATAAAATAGAGAGCATACGACGTTTAAAAATTCCCGTATATTTTCTTATTTGTTTAATTCAAAGGCGTTGATAAAGACAGTCGATATTAACGATGTAAATTTAAATTAAAGATGTACGTTTACGTATAAAATATAATAATCTATATCTACGTGTTAATGTGTACATTATAAAACTATGTAGATTTTTTATGTTTTAATTGTTTTTTATGTAAATACAGTAATCTATGGTCACCGCGAATTAATTATCGTAGAGTAGACTGTATTAAAGCTTTTTCCTGTGTATCCTTCCATATATTTTTATTTATCAATTCTAAAGATATTATATATATTATATATATTAATTCTCATTTATTAGCAGTTATAAAACTTTTAATTACGTGCAAAAAGATCCGTGGGGCTCGGAGATAATTCAAGAACACATTATCAACTATCATCCACATTATCAACTATTGGTATAAATTTATAATCATTAATATAAATTACATACATATATTTTTGTTAAATTAATAACTTTTTTTATCGGAGAAAGTCATATATTTGGGAGAAGCAATCAATTAATAAGTATAAAACAATTATATGTCAATGTTTAAAAAGTGTTAATATAAATATTCTTTTATGTAAATGTTTACTAATGTTATTTTATGTAAATGTTTACTAATGTTATTTTATATTTTATGTTTTGTCTTATAACTTCCGGAATAATAACAGATCTTTTCTGATTGCGATTTAATAGCTGTTACCAAATCCAGGTAATATCCACAATTTTGTGGTTCTGTTCCGTGCTATTAGTATATAAGTTCGACAAAGACGAACAATCAGACTTTGATTGTTCGTCTTTATCTAATCCATGTAATAAGCATGGAACAGAACCACAAAATCGTGGATATTACCTACGGGATATGGTAAAAGCTAAATCGTGGTCATGAACCGCATCTAGTCAATATATAGCTCGAATTAATCGTTGAGTAGCGACGCCGATCGATCTCGTGCTCGCGTACAGTGCATCGGATCAGATATTACCAGCGCCGGTCGCCCAGTTTCGTTCAGTCCAGTCGATCCACGTTGGCCGACCTGCGTCTCGACTGGTCTCGACTGGTCTCGGCTACGTACATACCTGCTGATCGGCCGCGACTCGCGGCGTCGTGTTATCGAGCTTTGTGCGATTTATCACGCACACCTCCACTTGTCCACCCTCTCTCCGTCCCTCCTCTACTCCCGCCGTATCTTTCTTTCTCGCTCCGTTCCACTCTTCGCTTTTCGTGGACGCTTTTCTGGATTCCCGCGGGTAGGGCGCGGACGCACGCGAGCGCGAGCGCATTCGGGTGCGAGTAGCAAGGCAAGGGCAGGGCGCGCGTCGAGGACAACGGAGCGAGGGCAGCGAGAGACGACCAGCCAGATAAAGCGCGAGCGAGAGCTACGAAGCTTGTGAGTGGAGGCGCGCGCGTGCGACGTCGTGGCGCGCGAGAGGGCTGTGCTGCTGCTGAGGCGACGCGCGAGAATAGCCGACGCGGAGTATCGTGACTTGAGAGCTCCGGAGTATATCTGTATATGCGGCATGGAGACCCTCGAATCGAGCCGCGTGTGCCGCCTCTGCGGCCAGCATTCGGGCATCTCGATCAACATCTTCGACGAGAGCGAGAATCACATTCGGAAAATCAACGCCGTGCTGCCGATCATGGTACGTCATTACGCTTTCTCTCTCGCTCTCTCTCTCTCTCTCTCTCTCGCTCTCCCCTCGCCTCTCTTTCTCTCTCTCATTTTTCCTCTCTCCCTCGCTCTTTCTCGTTTAAGCGGGAACCTCACGTACATTTCCTCCTTCCTTAGCTCCTTCGCGCCCTCCCTCCTTCTCTTTTTCCCTGTTTCTTTCTCCAGCGCTCCCCTTTTACAACTTCCCTCTCCAATCGGAGGACACGCGCCCTCCTCCTATGCACTTTCATCGTCCTTGCATAGCGTACAAAGCGCACCCTTCTCCCTCCTTTCTATTTGTTACCTTGTTACGAAACGCGTGGTCCATTCTCTTTATCAGCTGCGCTCTACGTGACTTTACGCGCGCTTTCTTCCGATCCTCCCCATTCGCCTTAATGCTCCATCCTTGTCCGTAACACCTGTTTCTGCAACGAAAAGAAAAAAACTTCCGCGTCCGCATGTCGAGTTGGCAAAGGAGAATAGAATACCGCTATTTTCTTGGAGGGGAGGGAAGGGCCGGACGAAGGGTACTCTTTGCACGGGCGGAGCACACGTCATCGACCACGTGCGAGAGACGTCGCGGTCCAGCGGGGTTCGCCACGGGGGCGAATTTTCGATTTTCTTTTTTTGCAAAATTATCTATTTGCTAAAAGTGAGGTTATCGCCATTTTTGCACGCGAACTCGAGTTGTACTCCAAAATGTCGAGAACGCGGATTACATTGCATAATTCAAAGCGCGAGAGAGGGAGAGGCTTGAAATGGATTTCATAAGTTCCTCGCGACGTTCATCGCGGTGATTTTTTGACGCAGATTTTCGCATCTGATAATCTTTTGGAACATTTATATTTATTGGAATTTCTTTTTTTACAGCAGTCTTCTATTTTTTTACTTTTTAAACCGTGGATTCGATTTTTTCTCTTCTTTTGATGCGATAAAGATGGAAAAGCTTTACGAAAATCATAGAATATACGCGTAATTAATGCATTTATCGTATTAATCTCTTACAGAAATTTAATTCTGTGTGGAAGGTGATTATAATTACTTATTAAACACCGAATAATTTCTTTTCTACTAATACTCAAAATAAGTAATTAATCACTACTTTTTAGTATTAAATCGGATGTCTAAAAAATATATATGTATAAATATAAAAAAATATATTGTCAGCGAATGTTTCGAAAGATGTTTAGATCATTTTAACACAAAATTAATCCAAGAAAACTTTTCTGGGAATTGCTAAATGACTTGATTTTTGAGTAAACCCCCCATACATTAATTGTAATAAATGTGTGAAAATATAATAAGAATAATAGGAACAATAATAATTGATAATAGTCTGTAGTAGTATGATAAATATGTAGAAGTACATAAAAGATTATTTGCTCATGGATAAAATCGTAAGAGATAAGTTTTTACAAGCTGGTAAATCATTGATACATCATTTTTAAGACTTGCCTTTATTTAAACTCAGAATTAGTAAATCAATTTATTTTTTGTTTAAGGAGGTTCTCTAATCATAAAACACATATATTAATGTTTACGCTTTAAACAAACTACATGTGAAAATTGTGTTCATAACATTCTGTTTTCATTGAGCAACACTTTTATAGATTATTTATTTTATTTGTTATTAGTTTTATTGTTATAAACAAAAATTTTTTAAATAAAAAAAATCTAAATTTTTTAATATAAATATATTAAGTACTAAACCTGACTTACGCAAAGTTTCATTGAGATTCACCAATTAGTTTATAACAAATAAATATTTTGTTTATTTACTGAACAATTAATGTCTGCATCTCAATGTAA